AATGGTCGTGTCTCTCTCTCTCATTGTGTTCACAATGGTCGTGTCTCTCTCTTAGTGGATTCACAATTGCCGTGTCTCTCTCTTAGTGGGTTCACAATGGCCCTGTCTCTTTTAGTGGGTTCACAATGGTCGTGTATCTCTCTTAGTGGGTTCACAATGGTCGTGTCTCTCTCTTAGTGGGTTCACAATGGTCGTGTCTCTCTCTCAGTGGGTTCACAATAGTCGTGTCTCTCTCTTAGTGGGTTCACAATGGTCATGTCTGTCTCTCATTGTGTTCACAATGGTCGTGTCTCTCTCTGTGGATTCACAATTGCCGTGTCTCTCTCTTAGTGGGTTCACAATGGCCGTGTCTCTCTCAGTGGGTTCACAATGGCCGTGTCTCTCTTATTGTGTTCACAATGGTCGTGTCTCTCTCTTAGTGGGTTCACAATGGTCGTATCTCTCTTAGTGGGTTCACAATGGTCGTGTCTCTCTCTCAGTTGGTTCACAATGGTCATGTCTCTCTTAGTGGGTTCACAATGATCGTGTCTCTCTTAGTGGGTTCACAATGGTCGTGTCTCTCTCTCATTGGGTTCACACTGGTCGTGTCTCTCTCTGAGTGGGTTCACAATGGCCGTGTCTCTCTCTCAGTGGGTTCACAATGGTCGTGTCTCTCTCTTAGTGGGTTCACAATGGCCGTGTCTCTCTCTCAGTGGGTTCACAATGGTCGTGTCTCTCTCTTAGTGGATTCACAATGGCCGTGTCTCTCTTAGTGGGTTCACAATGGCCGTGTCTCTCTCTTAGTGGGTTCACAATGGCCGTGTCTCTCTCTCAGTGAGTTCACAATGGTCATGTCTCTCTTAGTGGGTTCACAATGGCGCTGTCTCTCTTAGTGGGTTCACAATGGTCGTGTGTCTCTCTTATTGTGTTCACAATGGCCGTGTCTCTCTCAGTGGGTTCACAATGGTCGTGTCTCTCTCTTAGTTGGTTCACAATGGCCGTGTCTCTCTCTCAGTGGGTTCACAATGGCCGTGTCTCTCTCTTAGTGGGTTCACAATGGTCGTGTCTCTCTTAGTGGGTTCACACTGGTCGTGTCTCTCTCTTAGTGGGTTCACAATGGCCGTGTCTCTCTCAGTGGGTTCACAATGGTCGTGTCTCTCTCTCAGTTGGTTCACAATGGTCGTGTCTCTCTCTCAGTGAGTTCATACTGGTCGCGTCTCTCTCTCTTATTGTATTCACAATGGTCGTGTCTCTCTCTTAATGGGTTCACATTGGTCGTGTCTCTCTCAGTGGGTTCACAATGGTCGTGTCTCTCTTACAGTGGGTTCACAATGGTCGTGTCTCTCTCTCAGTGAGTTCACAATGGTCGTGTCTCTCTCAATCGGTTCGCAATGGTCGTGTCTCTCTCTTATTGTGTCCACAATGGTCGTGTCTCTCTCAGTGGGTTCACAATGGCGGTGTCTCTCTTATTGTGTTCACAATGGTCGTGTCTCTCTCTTAGTGGGTTCACAATGGTCGTATCTCTCTTAGTGGGTTCACAATGGTCGTGTCTCTCTCTCAGTGGGTTCACAATGGTCATGTCTCTCTTAGTGGGTTCACAATGGCGCTGTCTCTCTTAGTGGGTTCACAATGGTCGTGTGTCTCTCTTATTGTGTTCACAATGGCCGTGTCTCTCTCAGTGGGTTCACAATGGTCGTGTCTCTCTCTTAGTGGTTTCACAATGGCCGTGTCTCTCTCTCAGTGGGTTCACAATGGCCGTGTCTCTCTCTTAGTGGGTTCACAATGGTCGTGTCTCTCTTAGTGGGTTCACACTGGTCGTGTCTCTCTCTTAGTAGGTTCACAATGGCCGTGTCTCTCTCTCAGTGGGTTCACAATGGCCTTGTCTCTCTTATTGTGTTCACAATGGTCATGTCTCTCTTAGTGGGTTCACACTGGTCGTGTCTCTCTCTTAATGGGTTCACAATGGCCGTGTCTCTCTCTTAGTGGGTTCACAATGGCCGTGTCTCTCTCAGTGGGTTCACAATGGTCGTGTCTCTCTCTCAGTTGGTTCACAATGGTCGTGTCTCTCTCTCAGTGAGTTCATACTGGTCGCGTCTCTCTCTCTTATTGTGTTCACAATGGTCGTGTCTCTCTCTTAATGGGTTCACATTGGTCGTGTCTCTCTCAGTGGGTTCACAATGGTCGTGTCTCTCTCACAGTGGGTTCACAATGGTCGTGTCTCTCTCTCAGTGAGTTCACAATGGTCGTGTCTCTCTCAATCGGTTCGCAATGGTCGTGTCTCTCTCTTATTGTGTCCACAATGGTCGTGTCTCTCTCAGTGGGTTCACAATGGCCGTGTCTCTCTTATTGTGTTCACAATGGTCGTGTCTCTCTCTTAGTGGGTTCACAATGGTCGTATCTCTCTTAGTGGGTTCACAATGGTCGTGTCTCTCTCTCAGTGGGTTCACAATGGTCATGTCTCTCTTAGTGGGTTCACAATGGCGCTGTCTCTCTTAGTGGGTTCACAATGGTCGTGTGTCTCTCTTATTGTGTTCACAATGGCCGTGTCTCTCTCAGTGGGTTCACAATGGTCGTGTCTCTCTCTTAGTGGGTTCACAATGGCCGTGTCTCTCTCTCAGTGGGTTCACAATGGCCGTGTCTCTCTCTTAGTGGGTTCACAATGGTCGTGTCTCTCTCAGTGGGTTCACAATAGTCGTGTCTCTCTCACAGTGGGTTCACAATGGTCGTGTCTCTCTCTCAGTGAGTTCACAATGGTCGTGACTCTCTCAATCGGTTCACAATGGTCGTGTCTCTTTCTTATTGTGTCCACAATGGTCGTGTCTCTCTCAGTGGGTTCACAATGGTCGTGTCTCTCTCACAGTGGGTTCACAATGGTCGTGTCTCTCTCTCAGTGAGTTCACAATGGTCGTGTCTCTCTCAATCGGTTCACAATGGCCTTGTCTCTCTTATTGTGTTCAGAATGGTCATGTCTCTCTTAGTGGGTTCACACTGGTCGTGTCTCTCTCTTAATGGGTTCACAATGGCCGTGTCTCTCTCTTAGTGGGTTCACAATGGCCGTGTCTCTCTCTCAGTGAGTTCACAATGGTCGTGTCTCTCTCTTAATGGGTTCACAATGGTCGTGTCTCTCTCTTAATGGGTTCACAATGGTCGTGTCTCTCTCAGTGGGTTCACAATGGTCGTGTCTTTCTCTCAGTTGGTTCACAATGGTCGTGTCTCTCTCTCAGTGAGTTCACAATGGTCGCGTCTCTCTCTCTTATTGTGTTCACAATGGTCGTGTCTCTCTCTTAATGGGTTCACAATGGTCGTGTCTCTCTCAGTGGGTTCACAATGGTCGTGTCTCTCTCACAGTGGGTTCACAATGGTCGTGTCTCTCTCTCAGTGAGTTCACAATGGTCGTGTCTCTCTCAATCGGTTCACAATGGTCGTGTCTCTCTCTTATTGTGTCCACAATGGTCGGGTCTCTCTTAGTGGGTTCACAATGGCTGTGTCTCTCTTATTGTGTTCACAATGGTCATGTCTCTCTTAGTGGGTTCACACTGGTCGTGTCTCTCTCTTAATGGGTTCACAATGGCCGTGTCTCTCTCAGTGGGTTCACAATGGTCGTGTCTCTCTCTTAGTGGGTTCACAATGGCCGTGTCTCTCTCTTAGTGGGTTCACACTGGTCGTGTCTCTCTCTCAGTGGGTTCACAATGGTCGTGTCTCTCTCTTATTGTGTTCACAATGGCCGTGGCTCTCTTATTGTGTTCACAATGGTCGTGTCTCTCTTAGTGGGTTCACAATGGCCGTGTCTCTCTCTTAGTGTGTTCACAATGGTCGTATCTCTCTCAGTGGGTTCACAATGGCCGTGTCTCTCTCTCAGTGGGTTCACAATGGTCGTGTCTCTCTCTCTCAGTGGGTTCACAATGGTCGTGTCTCTCTCTTAATGGGTTCACAATGGTCGTGTCTCTCTCCGTGGGTTCACAATGGTCGTGTCTCTCTCACAGTGGGTTCACAATGGTCGTGTCTCTCTCTCAGTGAGTTCACAATGGTCGTGTCTCTCTCAATCGGTTCACAATGGTCGTGTCTCTCTCTTATTGTGTCCACAATGGTCGTGTCTCTCTCAGTGGGTCACAATGGTCGTGTCTCTCTCTTATTGTGCTCACAATGTTCGTGTCTCTCTCTTAGTGGGTTCACAATGGTCGTATCTCTCTTAGTGGGTTCACAATGGTCGTGTCTCTCTCTCAGTGGGTTCACAATGGTCGTGTCTCTCTCTCTCAGTGGGTTCACAATGGTCGTGTCTCTCTTATTGTGTTCACAATGGTCGTGTCTCTCTTAGTGGGTTCACAATGGCCGTGTCTCTCTCTTAGTGTGTTCACAATGGTCGTGTCTCTCTCTTAGTGGGTTCACAATGGTCGTGTCTCTCTCAGTGGGTTCACAATGGCCGTGTCTCTCTTAGTGGGTTCACAATCGTCGTGTCTCTCTATTAGTGGGTTCACAATGGTCGTGTCTCTCTCTTAGTGGGTTCACAATGGCCGTGTCTCTCTTATTGTGTTCACAATGGTCGTGTCTCTCTCTTAGTGGGTTCACAATGGCCGTGTCTCTCTCTTAGTGGGTTCACAATGGCCGTGTCTCTTTCAGTGGGTTCACAATGGTCGTGTCTCTCTCATTGGGTTCACACTGGTCGTGTCTCTCTCAGTGGGTTCACAATGGCCGTGTCTCTCTCTTAGTGGGTTCACAATGGTCGTGTCTCTCTTAGTGGGTTCACAATGGCCGTGTGTCTCTGTTAGTGGGTTCACAATGGTCGTGTCTCTCTCTCATTGGGTTCACAATGGTCGTGTCTCTCTCAGTGGGTTCACAATGGTCGTGTCTCTCTCAGTGGGTTCACAATGGCAATGTATCTCTGCGGGTTAATATTGGCCGCATTGTGTGGTGCGCATTTACTACAGCACTGGGGAGACGAAGACGGCTGGGCGTGGTGATCCTGGCCACACCGCCTTATAGGCGCCACTAAGTCCCCCACAAAAGCACGCGGAGACGTTGGGTGTCAAACATAATCTTTTTAACTCTGATTTACTGTACATCGTAGTCAATCCAGCAGTGGAGTGGTACCACGTCGCACGTGCTACAAGCGTGTGCATGAGTACACACATCTTCGTGTATCCCCCCCCCCCCCCCCGGCTTCACGTGTACACACAGCCGCATGTACACAGTCACATGTATACATGCCTGCGTGTACACACACCGACATCAATGTATCCTCATTTCCACGTCTACACAGCCACGTGTACACACTCAGCCGCGTGTACACACGTGCTCCTGCACCATGTGTATACACATTCTTGCGTCCTCGTGTACACACGACCGCACACATTCTCCCATCTGCCATGCCCACGTGTACACACGGGTACCTGTATCCCCAGGTACACACACACACATGTACACACATACCCGTGTACACACACACACACGTGTACACACACAAACGTGTCCCTGTGTGCACCACCTCTATACAAAAGCAACACAAGGGGCGACACTTTCTCATTCTATACACCACCATCACAACTATCACAGCCACAACTGCCGCCACAACCACTGCCACAACTACCACAACCTCCGCCACCACCACCGCAACCGTCACCACAACTGCTATCGTCACCACTACAACCGCCATGGCACCATCTCAACCGCCACCACCACCATCACAACCACCACCACAACTGCCAGCACAATCACAACCAGCTCCACAACAACCAACAACAACCACCACCATCACAACCGCCACCACCACCACCCCAACCACCACAGCCACAACCGCTGCCACCACCGCAGTGAAACAATTCAGTGTCGCAAAATATAAATAGCGTGAGTGAATGTCAGTGAGTGTGTAAGTGACAGTGAATGAGTGTGTGAGTGTGTGTTTGAGTGTGTGTGTGGGTGAGTAAATGAGTGAATGTGAGTGTGTAAGTGTGAATGAGTGACAGTGATTGTGAGCGAGTGCGAGTGAGTGTGAATGAGTGTGAGTGAGAGTGTGTGTGCTCACACACAGAATATTCCACGGTCCCCATGGAGATGCCCTCATCCCCAATGCCCGTTACCCACAATGCCCAGATTCCGACGAGGCCTCCTGCGGTCTGGCGTGTGGCCTGAGCTACCTCCTCCTCCACCACCATCTCCACCTCCTCCTCCTCCTCCACATTTCTTCCTCCTACATGTCCTCCTCCTCCACGTCCTCCTCCTACTTCCCCACATTCTCCACCTCGTCCTGCTCCTCCTCCTCCCCCACATCCTCCTCCTCGTGCTACACAGCCCGCCCTAGCTGTTGGCCTCCTCACACCGAGCTGTCCGCCAAGACCCACGGGCGAGCTGGTGGAGGCCTCGGTCAGGTGGGACACTGCTACACATCCCCGGTGGGGCCCAGTGGGGCCCATGAACACCCGTGCGGTCTGGCCTGCCCCCTGGCGAGGTCCATCAGAGTTCACCGCGGCCCCCTGGCGCGAGTCTTGGGCCGGGCACTATCACAGACCCCCGGCGGGGTCCATCAAAGTTCACGGCGGCTCCCCGGTGCGGGCCTCGGGGCGGGCCCCGTCACGGGGCCCGTCGCGGGCCCCGGGGCCTTCGACCGTCAGCAGCCGGAGGGCAGTGTCTCCACGGAGGAACCCAGCAGCTCCATGAGGTCTGGCGTGAGCTGCACCAGCCGCACCACGGCACCGCCCCCCCCCGCCTCGTCACCCCCCCTGCCATCCTCCTCCTCCTCCTCCGCTGCCCCACCCCCACCATCCCCCGCCGGCGCAGGTCCCAGCTGGGAAGCGGCCGCCTGCGCCCGCAGCAGTCGGCGTGGGGCACTGGCCAGGAGCGCGCCGGGCAGCGCGGCGCGGAACGCGGCCAGAGAGAGGCGAACCCGCGACAGAACCTCGCTCAGCAGCAGCCAGTTCCTGGGCCTGCGGGTGGGGTGCACAGGGGGGGGGGGTGGGAGACACGGGAGGGGAGACATGGGGGGAGGGGGGAATGAGGAGATGCCAGGGGGAGACACGAGGGGGAGGCAAAGTGGGGAGACACGGGGTAGACAAAGCTGAAATGAGGACAGTGGTGTGAGCAGGGCTACGATTGCCATGTTCGTGGTACTGTGGTGGCGGTGGGGAGAGCGATCTCTGGACATGGTGTAGCTGAGGCTGTGTGGTCTGTGCGGCTGTGGGGTGACAGGAGACGAGGAATGGTGGTGGTACCGAAGCTAAACATCAGTGAAGGGATGCAGGCAAGGCCGATAAGTCAGATGCCTCTATGCCCACCTGTCCCAGGTGCTAGCTGAAGTGGCCTCCTCCAGCGCTGTCCTACCAGACAGTCTCGTCCCTTCACCTGATGAAGGCCGCTTGTGTTGTGGCCGAAACGTCGTGAGAATATTATTGTGTTATTTGATTTTATCAATTTATTATTTTATTCTCATTCTACGTGACTTTACCGAAAGAACCAAAGAAGATGAACCTGTTGGGTGACTTGAATGCCCGAGTGGGTCTTGATTTCTGTGCATCCTGTGGCCTTGTAATTACCAACCACACTTTTTTCGGCATCCGGGCATTCACACAGCATCATGGATGCACACCAGGTCCAAGCAAGAACATCATCTATAGTGATGGAACAGCGAATGTGGGCCCACGTCCTTAACACCAGGACCTACCCTGGAGCTGATTTGCTCACTGACCATCGGCTTGTCATCTGTAAGATGCACCTGCCATTCGTCCACTGCTGTGGTGGGTGTCCATTTAGGATCCCATTCAAACCCACAGTGGCCTGGTCTCAGCTCGCTGCTGATAAACGTTGCAAGCAGCAATTAAATCATTGCTTGGAGCTGGGGTTGGCATCTCCCCCCCGTCCTGATGCTGAGGGGGTGAGGTTCATAGCGTTGGCTTATGCAGCTGCAATGGCTGCATTGGGTATGCGGTCCAGACCTCCCCAGAGATCCTGGCTGAAGGAGGAGGTGTTCCGACTGACTGAGAAAAAGCGGCAAGCCCACTCTCGTCATCTACATCATCCCACATCGGAGAATGAGGAGGCTTACCGGAGCCTTTGCTCAGAGGTTCGGAGAGCCATGTGGTGCTGCAAAGATGAGAGGTGGTCCTCAGTTGCTGAGGAGATGGAATCTGCCTCAGTAGCCCACAATTACAAATCACTCTTTAATTCCATCAAAGAAGAGACCAGGAAAAGCTGCTGAGGGAGGGTCACGTCTGTGTGCCGACTGCCCTACAAAACATCATAATAACAGTCGGGACCCCTGGGTGGGTTCCGCAGGATTGAAAGGATGCCCTGGTGGTCCCCCTCTTTAAGAAGGGGGACCGCACAGACTGTAACAACCACAGGGGCATCTCACTCCTCAGTGTGCCAGGAAAGGTCCTGGCAAGGATTATTCAACATTGCCTTGCTAGGCACGCTGAAGAGAGGCCTGCGGAGCCCCAGTGTGATTTTAGGAAAGGGCGGTCCTGCACAGATGCCATATTTTCTGTCCATCTGCTACAGAAGAGATGTAGGGAATCTCAACAGGACCTACATCTCTGCTTTTTTTTACCTGGTTAAGGCCTATGATACCATGAATAGGCCTGGGCTCTGGGTTGCCTTTCGTGCTTTCGGAGTCCCTGACTCTGCTCACGATCATTAAGGACCTTCAAGATGGTGGGCAGGCCCAGGTAAAGCTACGTGGCCAGGAGTCAGAGCTGTTCCCTGTTCACCTTGCAGTGCGACAGGGATGTCCTCTGGCTCCCACATTATATAACATCATCATTGCCCACGTAGTTGAGAATCCTTCCATAGCTGTACCGGTGCAATGCTCATCTGGTACAGATGCAATGGGAGGTTCATCAATTTAAGGGAGCGGTCGATGGATGGCTCCCTATTGGTCAACCATATTACGTATGCTGATGATCTTGTGAGAGGGAGATCTTGACGTGGTGTGCTGGTAGCTGAGGTTGTGTGTTTGTGAGCATGTGGGTTATGATGTTTTGGTTGTGTGGTTCTGATTGTGTGGTTGTGTTACTGTATGGTTACGTGGTTGTGTGATTGTATGGTTGTGTGGTTATGTGGTTGTGTGCTTGTGTGGTGGTTGTGGCTGACCCCTGTGAGAGGGAGGTTTGGACGTGGTGTGCCGGGAGAAGGGGTTGTGTGGTTGTGATTGTGTTGTGGTTGTGTGTTGTAATTATGCGGTTGTATTACTGTATGGTTGTGTGGTTGTGTGACTGTGTGGTTATGTGGTTGTGTGGTAGTTGTGGCTGACCCCTGCGAGAGGGAGATCTGGACGTGGTGTGCCGGGAGTTGGGGCTCCGATGAGAACTCAAAGAGCACTCCGCCCTCGTCGCCGCCTCCGTCTCCAGGGCCCACGGGGGCCCCTCCCCCACCCGCCCCGGGACCCGGAGGGGCGGCCAAAACCGCATAGCCGCATTGCTCCTCGACCTCTTCTGCACAGCACACATAAACACAGTACACACACAGTATACACACACATAGTACGCACATAGTACACACACATAGTAGACGCACCATTCACCACTAAGTGACGGTGACGTCACCACGGTGCCTGTGCCAGGCCAGGTGCATTTTGAGGCCACGTGAAGTGTGGAAGCCTCGCTAACAAGAGGTTATGGGACAGACCCAGGTGCCATGGGTTGGCTGACTGAGATGACTGGCAGATGCACCACCTGTACCCCCTACTGTGCTGACTGCATTTTAGCTGCCTGGTGCTCCGCTTTTTGTTGTGAGCATCACTCCTTTGTCCTCTGTTGTTGTTGGAGGACGACTGCCTCCAACTGCCCAGTAGCGTCCTTTACAAGCCTCCTCTATAGAGGCCGATCTTAGCAAAACTGGTAACAGCTCCACATCATCCTATACCGCATCAGTCTATCTCTTCTACAGCCCATGTCATGCCCGTTTATCCCACTCTATTCAGCTGAACAAAAGCTGTTTTGGGCAATTGGTGGCGGGGCATGCGGGCTATATGACCCTTGCCTGCCAGAAAAGGTCACCGGTGGGACTTTGTCCAGATCTTTCAATGATTTGTGAGCCCCTCACACAATCAAGCCTGGTTAAACCAAGGACAAACTGTAGGCAGGCCAGCCTGAATGTTTCTAATCAGCGAAGATGTTCCATTAGAGGGTCCACGTTTCGCAAGCATAGAAAAGGGAGGGCATGACTGTGGCCGAGCAGACCAGAAGCTACGTTTGGAGCGACAGACCAGGTAGCTTCCACAGAGCGTTACGCAACCGATGAAAAGATAATGCCGCTCAATTAATTCGGAGTGGGACCTCTCTGCTGTCAAACTGGAGCCGGTCATAAGCACACTGCCCAGGTATGGAAAACTCTCCACTCTCTCCGCAACTGCCCCATCACCAATGGGGAGCAGAGGGGGTGGAGTGTTTGATGGCACAAAATACCCCGGCAGGGACTTAGTTTTGGTGGGGCTGATTGTAAGGCTCCACCTCTTAGTGGCACACTCCAGTTTCAGCAGCAGCGCCTCCGACTCCTCCTCTTGAGTGAGCAGGAATCACCAGACCATCACTATACGTAACATGGTTGACTAATAGGGAGCCATCCCTTGTCCGCAACCAGGCATCTATCAGCCTCCCATTATATCTGTACCGAATAGGGATGCCTCCGGTATAGCCATGAAAGGCTTCTTGAACTACGTGGTCAAAAAATATGTAAAATAATGTGGGAGCCAGAGGACATTCCTGTCGCACCCCAAGGTGACCAGGAAATGGCTCCGACTCCCAGCTCCGTAGCTTTACCCGGGCCTGCCCACCATCATGAAGGCCCTTAATGATTGTGAGCTGAGAGTCAGGGACTCCGAAAGCACAAACAACCTAGAGCCCAGGCCTATTGATGGTATCATAGGCCTTGACCAGATCAATAAAGCAGAGATGTCGGTCCAGTTGTAATTTTCTACACCTCTGCTGTAGCAGACAGACAGAAACCACTTTGGGGCTGCGCAAACATCTCCTCAGTGTGCCTAATATGGCGATGTTGAATAATAATTGCCAAGACCTTTCCCGGCACACTGAGAAGGGAGGACCACCAGGACATCCTTCAAATCCTGAGGAGCCCATCCTGTGGTCCAGACAGTTGTGATGTCATGTAGGACAGTCAGCACACAGACGCCACCCTCCCTCAGCATTTCGCTTGGGAGATCGTCTCTGCCTGGCGCTTTTCCTGGTCTCCAGATCTCACCTCGCACTTCCTCCACAGATGGCACCTCAGCCAACCACTCAGAAGGGGTGGCTACTTTTGCCAATATTTGAAGCATGGCAGTCCCAGTAGGGTTGTCCCCTTTTTTCCCCATGATGTTGTCTGGACTGAGAGAATTCCCCTCCCCCAAGACCTCATAGAAATTCTCTGCAAGCCTGCAGACAGTCTTGAACCTCACCCATTTCCCCTTAACATCAGGAGGAGGGGAGGACGATATCAACGCCAGCTGCAAGAGATGTTTAAATATCTGCTTGCAACTATCCTCAGCTAGCTGAGACCAGGCCACTGTGAGTTAGAATGGGGCCCTAGATGGACACCCACCACCAGAGTGGAAGAATGGCAGACGTGTCTTACAGATGACAAGCTGATGGTCAGTGGGCAGATCAGCTCCATGGTCGATTCTGGTGGCAAGGACATGGGCCCAAATCCACTGGTCCGTCACTATGTAGTCCAGCAAATGTTTTTGCTTGGACCCGGCGTGCATCCATGATGTTGTGTGGCTGCAGCGATGCCGGAACGGTGTGTTGGTAATTACAAGCCCATGGGCCGCACAGAAGTCAGCAGCCTCCTACTGTTGCTATTGAGCTGACCCACTCTCTGACACTCACTCACTCTCTGACACTCACTACCTGACACTCACCGAAGATTTCGCTGCCGTGGAAGTCCCAAAAGAGTCCAGGGTCGTCTGGGCTTCTACCCCGCAGATCCAGCAGGTACTCTGTGTGGGGCGACACTCACCCTCCTCACCACTACTCCTCACCACACACTCACCCCAACCACCACCCTCACCATTAACCACCACTCTCGGGTACTCCTTTGAGGCTGAGGTGACCTAGGGGAGGCCCAGTACCGGTTCAGATAACTGTCACTGGTGTTGGCCGTGAGCAGGATTTAAACTCGGGTAGCCGGATTTGTAGCACAGTGCAGCAGTAATTGCTGCGCCACCGCTTCCACACCTATTCGGGATGCAAAGTAGATACCTCCTCGCGGTGCATCCTGGTAACTTCTGGAGGGTTATTCCCCAGAAGGCCAAATCTATTAACCACTCTTAAACCAACCGTGTCTACCCAAGACCTTAGCGTGGACAAAAACAGTTGGCACTGTCTGTCAGTCCTCTCAATGAATATTGAAGGATACTCACAGGCAAACGCTGACATTATGGCAGTTATATTAGAGGAGCATGACATTGTCTGCTTACAGGAGACACGCAAAGGTCCTAATAACCCCCGCCCAACCATTGAGGGGAAAGCACTCGTTGCTGAAATAAGACAGAGGCAGTATTGCAAGATCTGATCTGAAAATTGAGAACGTGCAAACCAACACAAGCAAGAACAACATCGAAACCATCACACTTAGCCTCAAAAACATCGCAGTAACATCACTGTATAAACAACCGTCAATTATCTGCTTTGGTTCTTTCGGTAAAGTCACGTAGAATGAGAATAAAATAACAAATTGATAAAATAAAATAACGCAATTTATTATTTTATTCTCATTCTACGTGGTGACTTTACCGAAAGAACCAAAGAAGATGAATCCTTGCAGTCACGAAAGCTTTAAATCGAAATTTAACCGTCAATTACTTTAGAGTGGAAGATTTTTTAGGATGGCTGTATAAGCAAGTATAGCCTAGTGATTGTGGACTTCAACTCCCATCAGACAGCTTGGGGATATGATGCCAACAACAATGCCAGCACCCCCTGAGTGGAACAATGAGTCCAGTAACCTGACGCTGGCACATGACGCCAAACAACCTCCAAAGTCATTCAACATCAGCTGCTCCGCTGGAGAGGATCCAACTCATAAATGTGCCAGAAAGCAGTACTAGCAATGGCGGAGCCAGGATTTTCAGGTAGGGGGGGCAACCCCTCCAGCCATGAAAAATGATAGAAGAGTTGTTATTAAATTTTGATTTAAAGCTTTCGTGACTGCAGTAATTCATATTCTTAGTTCTTTCGGTAAAGTCACGTTTAAGGGAAACAACAAAATAATAATATATATATAAAACAATAAAAATTCTCACGACGTTTCGACCATAACACAAACCTGAAGACGACCGTTTGTGTTATGGTCGAAACGTCGTGAGAATTTTTATTGTTTTATATATATTTTATTATTTTGTTGTTTCCCTTAAACGTGACTTTACCGAAAGAACTAAGAATATGAGTTGTTATTAGTAAGTGTAGGAGTTGTCCCTTGCTTTTTATTCGACGCGTGTGCGGCGATGGCGCAGCCATCGATCGAGGGTCGAATTCGAACCGCGTTGTGTGATCGGCATCGCGCTCTCTGAAGGTGAATGCCTTCAGGGAATTCGTGGACTCTGTATACGCAACTGCGCACAATTCTGTGAGTCACTTATAACTGCTTTGCCGTTACTTATTGCCAATTATGGACTCAGACTATTGTCCTATCATTTCATGGAGTCCCTGGTACGTGATAATATGCTACACAGAGGCAGTGGGGGTCGCAAAATGCCAATTTATTACTAAACCCCAATGATACGATCAAAATTATGGATTTCGATTGGATCACTGGGGGGGCACATGCCACCCCCCCCCCCCCCACTGGCTCAGCCAGTGAGTACTAGAACCCATGCCTAACACCCAACACTGCCCTATAAGCAGCAAACGAGGGTCAACAAAAACAGTGCAAAACACCCCATTCCAAAGATGATTCAACCTGAAAAAAGCCAATTGGAAAGCCTTCAGAGAGGCAGTGGAGAAATCAATCAGGGACATCACTCCCACCCATGAGAACTACAATGATGTCATGAGGGCTGCCAGACAAGATACATCCCAGGCATGTCAAGCACAAAATCTGAGCTGTACGCTCTCTATGAGAAAGAAGACCATCTCGATCCCTTATCAGAATCCACTATTAGGTTTGGAGAAAACCTAAGAGACAACAAAGGATTAGAGCGACACAGTGCCTGGAGAGTGGTGATCGTGGTGGACACTAACCTGTCAGTGTCCACCACGATGGTCGCTTGGGCGACCATACGGAGACTAGGAGGTGACAATATTACACCTCCAGCAGTGGCAAACTTTACTGCTAAACCAGGTGGCACAACAACTGCTCAACAATGGGAAGCAACACCGGAGAACACCATCGCTCTATTATACCGCCTGACAACCAACCACCCAAAGACTAAACCTGCCCATTTACTACGGGGGATCTGACAGCCGGCATAGGCCTACTTAAACAAGGGAAGGCAGCAGGAGTAGATGACATACAGGTTAAGATGATACAACATCGAAGACCCACTGCAAAGTAATGGCTCCTTGACCTATTCAACGCATGTATGACGAGTAAACAGAGTGGAGGAAGTCAAGAGTCATAGCTCTGCCCACCAGGGAAAAACCTTTCGTCACTAAAAAGATACAGACCCATCTCCCTCCTTAGCATAATTTACAAACTCTTCGAACATCTTATCCTCCAACAAATTTCACCCCTGGTAGATCTCAAACTCATACGAGACCAAGCGGGCTTCAGACCTGGCCGAACTGATGCAGGCTAACTACTAAACCTCACACAGCATGTCGAAGATGGCTACCAACAGAAAATTATCACTGGCGCAGCGTTTGTTGATCTATCTGCTGCATGTGACACTGTTCAACACCGCATCTTGATCTACAAACTACACCTCATGACTGGCGACCTAGACCTTTGCCAGACCGTTCGAAGCCTCCTAGAGAACAGACGCTTCTCATCATCATAGGCCTTTGTGCCTCGAGAGACAATTCTTTTTGTGCCTTACGAGATCAGCTGTAGGTTTTGCAGCGCCTAGAATGACTTAGTAGGCCAATCCTTGAGTGACAATCCTTGCCACAGCAATTGCAAGTGAATGCGGTGGCAGCTCCAGAGATGTTTGATGCTTTTTCTTTACGTCGCTCCCTCTTGGTCTGCCAAGCGTTGCGTCTTTTCTCCTCACCTCTACTGAGGCCTGTCTTCACAGCCTGCTGGACCCAGCTGAGTCGGTCGCCGGCAGTTTTCTCCCAGTCATTTGGGTTGATGTCGCAGCTCTTCACGTCCCGTTTACAGACATCTTTGAAGCGCAGGACCGGGCGACCAGTGGCCCGTGTGCCTGATGCCAGCTCGCCGTACAAGACATCCTTGGGTATTCTGCCATCCTGCATGCGGCGCACGTGTCCAAGCCATCTCGGGCGCCTATGACTGAGTAGAGAATACATGCTGGGAATGTTGGCCAAGTTGAGAACAGAGGTGTTGGGAATGCGATCTTGCCATCTGATATCGAGGATGCGCCTGAGACATCGGAGGTGGAATGTGTAGTCGATGTTCTTGATGGGCATATGTTGTCCAGGACTCGGACCCATAGAGGAGGGTGCTAAGGACGCAGGCCCGATTCACTTGTACTTTGGTGTTGAGCGTTAGGGATTTGTTCTCCCACACTCTTTTAGTCAATCTGAACATAACTGTAGACGCCTTCCCAATGCGCTTGTCAATCTCTGTGACAAGAGACAAATTGTAGGTGATGGTAGGACCCAAGTAGGTGAAGTCCTGAACGACTTCCAGGGTGTAGCTGTCAATGTTTATGGAAGGGGTGTCTCTGACATCCTGGCCCATGACATTGGCCTTTTTTAGACTGATTGTCAGGCCAAAGTTGTTGCAGGCATTGGCAAGGTGGTCGATGAGTGTCTGCAAACCTTGTTCTGTGTGAGCTGTCAGCGCAGCATCGTCAGCAAATAGGAGTTCTCTGATGAGGACTTTGCGGACTTTGGTTTTGGATCTGAGACGGTCAAGGTTGAAGAGTTTGCCAGCAGATCTTGTATGAAGAAAGACCCCCCCTCTTCTGCTGTCCCAAAGGCATGTGTGAGCATAAATGAGAAAAAGATGCCAAACAGTGTTGGGGCAAGCACGCACCCCGCCTGCTTTACACCGCTGAGTATGGGAAATTCCTCTGAGGTGGTGCCGCTGTGCTGTGTTGTTCCTTTCATGTTGTCATGGAAAGAGGAGATGACTGCCAGCAGCTTCGGTGAACAGCCGATCACTTTGAGGAGTTTGAAGAGGCCTCCCCTACTGATGAGGTCAAAGGCTTTCGACATTTCTCCTATAGCTTACGCAAGGAGAAGAGCATGTCAATTGTAGACCTTCCTGCTCTGAAGCCACACTGAGCCTCAGGATACATCCTCTCAGCTAGTATCTGTAACCTGCTGAGGACCACACGGGCAATGGTTTTCCCCACAATGCTCAGCAGGGAGATGCCACGGTAGTTATTGCAGTCCCCACGGTCACCCTTGTTTTTTATATCGGGTGATGATGTTGTGGAGTCTCTCATTGTCTTGAGGCACTGCTCCTTCTTCCCAGCACTGGCAGAGAAGTTCATGGAGTTTTGTGAGGACGGCGGGTTTTGCACATTTCAGTACCTCAGGTGTGATGCCGTCCTGTCCCGGTGACTTGCCGCTGGCTAGTGAATTGATGGCGTTGTCAAGTTCCTTCAAGGTTGGAACATTGTCCAGTTCGTGTATCGTTGGTAGGGGCTTTACAGCAGCAAGAGCAGCTTCTGACACACCATTGTCTCGTGAGTAGAGCTCTGAGTAGTGTTCTACCCACCTGGAAATTTGCTATTGTTTATCAGTGATGATGGCCCCTGTGCTGGATTTAAGGGGGGCAGTCCTCCTGATGTTTGGACCAAAGGCTGTCTTGATACCTTCATACATGGCACAGATATTGCCAGTGTCACAGGCGAGTTGGATCCTA